CCCTGAGATATCTGCATCTTTTTTTCCCTGAGATATCTGCATCTGTCTTCTTAACACATCATAGCTCTGCAAACCTCAAGTTTGTGTTAGTTGTGCGTCCTTTACAGGACGTTTTAGAACCAACCCCAGCATTATTTGGCTGTTGTGGTTTTCTAGGCAAGTTTATGTCCAGTGGTTTGTCTTTGTTTTATGGAAGGTCGGTTTCTGGATACCCAGTCAAAACCAACGCAAGGCACAAGTCCCGCAGCTAGGATCGAACTCACTGTCAAAATCAAGACAAGGCGGTCTGCTGCCAAATATCATGCAATTGGAATCGAATGTAATCGAACCCTGCACCTCGTTATTACGAACCACGGTTACAACGCCTAAATCGTGGACACCATAGTTTGTACATCTCAACAATAACATGTTTTGTAATTTACTCGATATGAGTTCGATTTCCACACCTACCTAGTTGTCGACAAGGTCAAAAGAAAACGACTCAAACAAACAAAAACAGATGATAACGACATACATATTGAAAATAAAGAATGTGATCTTCTATATTCTGGCAAACCGATCTGGCAAACATAGCTACCTGATTAATGCTGTTTCTGCAGTCTGGCCAGACACCTGCAAAGGATCCATTACCGAGCGACATAAAGAGAATTTGACACTCAGGATTAGTGCTAAAGTCGCTGAGGGTCAGGTTGTTTAACTCTTCAGTTTTGAACTCTCCAGGGCTGAAAGAAATGTTTTAATACAGAACATATAAATACAATTATTTTGTCTAGGCAAGGTACAAAATTACATAATCACAATAGATAAGTTTGTATAAAACAAAATTTGAATTCTCTCACGCTGGTGGCTTACGTGTGAAGCTGACTCCTTTTAGCTAGGCAGTATCTCGGAAGAGTTCAGCTTCTAAACATAACATCCTTCAGACAGACAACCATTCACAGTTTTAAAATTATGACTATTTTTACTTTGCTAAAAAAAAAATTGAAAACAGTTTTTGGGTTTGGATAGAGCCGAAATTGTGAAAACAAAATTACGTGGGATCTAAACTGTCTAATTGTCGTCTTCCTGTAATAAGAGCGGGTTAGGTGTGTCATGCTGATGTATATGAAATGATAGGCGAAGACTCACTATCATTGTAGCCGTCATTTGCCATACTGCAGTCCGGTTGTAGGAGTTTGGGTTAGTGGATGGGTTCTGTTATACCTGATCCTCCAAACTCCGAACTCAAGTCCTCTTCGTTAACTGCTGTTCATGGTCGAGGAGGCTAAAACTCTCATGCTCCGAGATTCAACTGCTCGATGCTGAAGATTTCAGTGGTTTTGTGGTTGGGGACTACAGGCAGGTATCAATTGCGTGCCTTGAAACGCATGTGCTCTTAGAGAAGACTCTCTGCTGGAAGGGGGCGGGGGTTGGTTGGGACATGTCATGGGTTGAACTCATAGTGCATCAAAAAGATTGCTGAAGAGGAGGGGGGAGTAGGTGGGCGGGAAAAAGGGTGGGGACCATTCCATATTGTTTTGTTTGCATTCACTATTTATTGATAGGTAGGTAGTTGTACCCCGCCAGGACACCACACAAGCGTTAAACACCCGGTGACACAAAGTGCTACAATGCGAATCGGATCACCCGTGGAGAGGTCCCAGAAACCCCCTTTCAGTCCTTATGGAGATATCTATATTCAGGGCACCCGGAAGAAGCCAGGATGGGGCTTGTAAATAACACAAAATTGCGTCCAAATGGGGACGATTTATACATAACTATCCATAGTCTCCTTACTAAAGTAAAGTACGCCTTTAAATCCCAAACGCAGAGGTGTTAGCAAAGTTTTACTTATCATAAATGTTTTGCAGAAAATGGGAAGAAGACAAGGTAGTTTCATAAAGAATGTTGAAATTCGGCAAAATATAATTATAAAAGTATGAAAACAATAACAAAAACAAAATGTGCTCGATTTGCTATTAAAAAATTTATTAACATCAATTCAGTTCTATGAAAAATATTTAACAGTTTATTTTCCTTGGTGAAGTGATTTGTTTCTCTTGATAGTTATATTGGCTATAAAAACCTTCGCACAATGAAAATGACCACAAAGAAACAACAATTGTCACAATATGTTTTTACCACATTGCATTGTTATCCACAAAGTATGTGTGTGCAAAATGTCAGAGTTATAGCTTTTAGGAAAATGGTATAAAAATCGGATGCGAATGGTCGTCCAGACACACGCTTTCAAATATAAAAAACGATCGTTAAACGATGTGATGCATTACTTTATAAAGGCCTCCCGTAAACATCTTGTTCTGCCTTTATACCCCCCCCCCCCCCCCCCACCAATGGAGCATAGGCCCTCAACCAACTCACGACAAGTAGTTCTTTCCTTCGCCATTGGATGGAGCTCTCCCCATGTCCTCCCCATCTTTCCAACTTCCTTCTCCAGCTCTCTTCTCCATGTGTTTTTTTTTTTTGCCTTTCTTTATTCCTATGCCCCTGTGGGTTCCAATGCAAAGACATTCTAGTTATGCTGTTCTCTTGTTTACTCAGTTTGTGTCCTATCCAACGCCAGCGTGTTTTCCTCACCTCTCGGTCCACTGGATCCCCCGAAAACATCTGCCTCGATGTAAAGAACACCAGCGACCTGTGTCTTATCAAACAAAGCGTCATTTATTCTAGACAATAATAAACAAATCTTTTAATAAAGCTTAATATTTTATTCAAAATATTTGTTGTTGCAAGTGACAGCTAACAACTACTTAACAAGTACTAACTTGTATGTCTTTGAGTTAGTGAAGTTGTACGGCGTCACTGTTATGATATCATTGGAGTTGTCATCTTGGCTAACCAGTGCCACATACAAGGTGGTAACCTTGCCATTGATCGATACCTCCACGAACATCTGTCGCTTCTGTAAGCACATACAAGAGATAACAAGCTTATTGTACTGTCTCAAACTATCACAACAACTGACATTATATACGTACATTTTAAATTGTATTATCTCTCAGTGAGCATCAATTCTGGTGTAGTAACACTGGTGTTGGCATTTCTGATAGCTGCCTAATACATTTTTACTCTGTGTGTGCGGGCATCGAGATTGGGCTGAGACTGACACGTTTGTTACTAGTTGTAAAATAAGACAGTGACAGATTTTTTGTGACTTCTACTGGCGCAGGGACGGAGCAGTTATGAGGCGACCCTTCTGCTGTGATGTTGGAATCTTGACTAACCAACTGTTACCATTATTATGTCAGGCGACAGACTTGAGTGCCATACTCGTAAAGGAGATGTTTTTGTATGTCAGGGGCAAAATATATATTGTAACCTGCGAATTCTTTAGCCACCACTTCAATTGTCAGACTGTCATACACCGTTAAAAGTGCTAAAACACAGACGCTAAAGACTTGACAGTTTCAATCTGTTTTTGTGTTTTATCTATAATTGCATCTGCACTATCAAAATACCTACATCGGGCATTGCCAACTATGAACCTCTTTTAACTTTAGTGATAAGACCAACAAACAAAAAATGCAATGGTTTGGACCTGTAATAAGATCTAAAGGTTTTTCAAAATCAATACCACAAGGCTCAGTAAAGGGACAGAGGATAAAAGGCAGACCAATAAAGACTTGGATACAGAACCTGACCGACTGGACAGGCCTTTAGCATGTAACCCTGAAGCCCATCGCATCTGACCACCAACGTTAAAGGGAGATGATCAGACAGTCAACAGCAACTGTTAACCTAACGACACGTACTGTTGAGGGACGATGATAATGGTGATGAACATTGGCACCATTTTTTTTTTTTCAACAAATCTCTTTCATTGGCCAGTCTCTCTGGTCAGATGGAGCACGTCAGATGGAGCACAACAGATAGGGACAGCAATCGGTATAAGAAACACTTTCTAGTAGGAAAGCCTGTCAAAGTCGGAGATGCCGACTAAAAAGATACAGATAGATCAGAAAGGTGTCGCAAACTACGAACAATACAATTCCTCCCTGTAATGACAGAGAACATATGCTACAGACATGCTGTCTTCATGCCTTCAGATTCTTTCAGCTATCACCTCTATATTTCGTCTTACCCACTGCCTTTTGAAAATTCGAAACCGTACTTACAGCTTCTCTGGCTGTGTAGGCTGTGCTTTGCTTACTCTGACTTCTGTGATAAATCACATGAACTTCTTCCTTGCCCGTTTCTATCCGGAACACACTTGTCTGAACACAGAGTTAACCATCACCAGCAGAGATGCTTCCCCTACCAAAAAGTAATTCCACCAGCGATGGACCCAAATTGTTTTTAACTTTTCATCTTAACAATATGGTTGCTTCCAAAGTATTCTCTCGCCACTTGGACATTCTACGCTCTAATCGAGACGATAATTGGATAATTTGTAGTGAGAAACCTGAATTAATATTCAGACGAGACGCAACCTAAAAGACATACTCTTCACAATCCGACTCCCGCAGTGTCCCTAATGGTTTAGGGATTAGGGAAGTATTTACGTGCTAAATCCTAATAGTAGCTTATTACATAATGTGTAAAGATGCTACAAATCAAATGCTAGGGAAACCGACAGACAGCTAACTAACCGGTTCCGAGGTCATCCCTCTGATATTAACAAGACGACAGACCAATCCCTTTCCATTTCAACAGCTCAAATCATAGAAAAATACATTACATATCTATCACTGCGATAAAATCTTGCTCTTGTAATCAAACCAGGCGTTTCTCTTTGGAAAATCGCCTTATCCAAAGTGTAGGTGTTCTAAGCCTAGCAGGAGTTAATGTTCAGCACACCTTCATCTAACATTTTACTATTGGTACTTAGTTTTCGTTTCAGTTTATTTCATATGATTATTGTCTTCTGTCTAACATTATTGCCTCTTATGGATAATTAGCATTTTAATTCCTGCCAGTCTGTTATTACTTCTAATATTATACATTATCACTATTACTTGCTTGTTAATTGTTTCGCCCTCCGCTATTTGACTAATTCGTCACCATTTTCTTGTCCTACTTTTTTTTTTATAGTTATAAATGTAATCCCCTGGTGGGCACTGGTGGCTGTTCTTTCCCCTTTGTTATTGTTTGACAAGTTGCTGTTGCGTGCTGATTCAGAAGGGTTGCAACATCGTAGGGACAATGTCCTGAAAACTGTGCTTTCATGAGTCCATTGAAATGTCCGGTGACCTGGGTCAATATCTAGTGCGGTTGTGACTTAAGCCAGGAGATATCGGTTCGGCTTTAGTCAATATTATTACAAGTCTGTGTTGACTTAGGGCTGGATGGACCAGTGAATTCCCTAAGTGTCCGCTCTAAGTGGGTGAATTATCATACTTAGTGCGAAGATCGAGTGAAGAGATCGAGTGGGAAACGATGTGATTACAAGAACTATTGGAACCATACCCATCGTTAAATTTATTGAGAAGCAAAGAATGAAATGGTTTGGTCACCTAATGAGAATGAAACCAACGATGCCAGCATCAAGAACATACAACATGAAAATCGAAACACCAAGAGGCAGGGGAAGACCAAGAAGAATATGGATTGAAGGAGTCACGAACAACTTGAGACTTCATAACATCACGGCATATGAAGCGACTGAGCGCGCCCTGGCTCGGTTGCCGATCATCTGATAGACTGCGACGCCTAGCGGCACAAGCAGATTTTGACAAAAGAAAGAAGTGCGAAGATAGCAGAAGTGGGAGTTCTCAATGACTGGGAATCACGCCTAACAGTGAACGTCTGGGGTGCACGGAACAGCTCACAAGGGGCAGGCAAGTATACATACTAGGGATGAGTTCGGTTGAGAGCAGCTGAGAGCTCGTACAGTTGAGTTGAGAACGTTCGGGGCGGAAGCACTCGAGAGAGACTGGTCTAGAGGACAGTCGAGAGTGCAGTCGAAGGATGAGAAGTCCATCTGGCAGAGTTAGGCCAAGGGAGTTGGACTGATTAAAAAAAAAAAAGCTGTCTTGGGTGACGACTCACGTGAGGCGGTAGGATTACTAGTGAGACAAGACAGTATAGATGAAGGCGGCAGCTGTGTGCTGAAGGGGCCTCAGAGCCAACAGTCCTGCCGGTCATCGGGGTTCTTTCGACACGGCTAATGTGCTGTGTGCACATTCTGAGGATCAAGTATTATGAAGGTTTCTAGTCAGCCGATGTGACAGTGTCTGTTACGCATTGAGCAGTGGAGGTCAAGTTGAGTAGAAGATGCAACCTGTTCATCCTTACAGCGAACTCAGAAGTGAGGGGCGCTGGAGACTTAGACCCTGGATCGGTGAGCTCTGCTTGTAGTGTCGGCTAGTCTAAGCTGTCGGAGAGAGTACCGCAATTCCAGTTTGAGTGAGCGAAGGGTGGGGCATTAATTTCATGATTAACCAGTGATGTGTGTGATTTTGCATTATTCTGTATGCCGGTTTGTGAATATCCGATGTGTTCGTGACAATAAATGTTCATATATAACGGCAACACGTCGTTGAGTTGCCTGACAGTTGGTGCCCAAGTTAGGTAGCCAGTGTGAATCGTATCCAGTATACTTGGTCGTGGGCTGTCTTCTCATAAGGCAACTTTAGTACACAACAGTTGCATGCCAAGAAGCAAGCTGCCGAATCGTCGATTTGTCTTGTTCTGTGTACGTTGTCCCACTTCCTCTTTTCCTGAAGCTTTTTAGTCACAGTTCAATGGATTAATTTCTTTGTATTAGCTTTACAGCTGTCGCCATTGTTTTCTCTAGTGCAGTAGATAGATTCTAGGTTTCGCCGGTTGGCATTTCGGCAGAAATCAAGCTGTATGGAACTTTAGAAAGCATGCCTGTCAAATCAGAAAATAATTGAGAGGAAGAAAAAAACTAGAAAAAAAAAAAAATAAACCTTACTCTAATATCTGTGTGTCATTGACTTTTCCCTGGGATGTACCAGCTATACTTCTGCTTGTACACATTTTCTACCTACAGATAAAAACATTTTAGAAATAAACACTTACTGATCCGAACGCTTGCACTTCTATAGGGATGAACCTGACTTGCATAAAGTCATGTTCTCTATTTCTACCCTGGACCTGCTCCTTGTTGTCGAAATGCCCGCTCAATCCGGACATCCAATCCAGGACTAGCTCAGACTCATCTGGTAAAAGAGCGGGTATTTTGTGAAACATGACATATCAGCTTATATGGTCGTAACGGCCTTGTATGAACAGAAAGACAACCAAATTAAATACTCTGAAAAGGGGGGAAAAAAACCTTCCAGCCTACCACAAGTGAACTACAATTGTGGGGTCCCGGGTTCCCACTGAGGAAGGCTAGAAGAATAAATCCACAACAGTATGTTTTTTAGATGCCTTTACTGGAAGCTTCTTGGAGACAGTACAGTTACTCTAACATCTTGATTAAACACACGTTGGAACACAGCTGGTGGACACGATAACGTTCACTCATTCCATCACCTGTTTCACTGCCAGTGTACTTAAGGTAACTTGTCTAGGGCGACTGACACCATCGGCCACTTGTATCATTATAAAAAATCGTTAACACCTTTTACAAATCGACTCTTTGCACTCCTTCCAAGAAATGAGAACACAACCAGTTTTTCACTTAATTACAGACACATCAAACATGTTAGCCTTCAGAAATGTCGAACAAACATACTGGCTAGGTTTTCGTGGAAATTGCATTCAATATAAACTTCTCCGCAGACAGATTGATTCCACTCTCGCTTATCACCGTCAAATATACTCTTCCAACACCGAAAACAAGACTGATCATTATCGATCATTGCAGGCTAAAAATTCTTTGTTTCCCCCTTGCTTTCTCGTACGTAATACAGTTTCTCTTACCTTTTGCATGCTTTCGCCAATTCACTCGCTGTCTCAAATTTTTCGTGCATCACACTTCATAATCGATTCCATTCACCCGTGGCACTCATAATTTAGTTCGAAAGACCGAAACTTGGCTTCACATGTATCCCATCCATTCTTAAAGTCGGTATCACACTGAACAATACACCTGACGCTACTAATTAAGTGCAAATGTCGAAAAACAATTTGGCTAAAATCTAAATGATAGCCTATAAGATCATACTCCTGCTATCCACACTCATGGAAATCCTTACGTTGGCAAACTAAACTAAGCATGATTGTTCCAAACTATGTAGGCTTTACACTTTGATTTTTACACTTGGACTTGTCTATATAATATATAGTCTTAAAATATTTGATCAGCACAAACAATCAGACTGTCAGTTTTACATAAATACATAAATAATTGGTGTACAACTCTATACTTAAACAAAATTTTCCAGTTTGAATTGTTTTTCAAAAACACCACTGTCCGGTTTATAAATGATTGTAATATCATAAAAATAAATAATTTTGGAAATATGGCATTTATAATGAAACGGGAAAAAGAAAGCTATAACAGTACAACAAGTTTGATTTTTAAAAGGGTTTGGGGATGGCTGATCACTCCAAATGTGTTTTCCTTGAAACGACACCGCTAAATTCAAAATTGTTGCTAAATACGGGTGTTTGTAATAACCAGAAATCAATAGACAAATAGCTGTTATTAGGAATCTTACAAAACATGAGAGAGAGAGAGAGAGAGAGAGAGAGAGAGAGAGAGAGAGAGAGAGAGAGAGAGAGAGAGAGAGAGTGAGTGAGAGAGAGAGAGAGAGAGAGAGAGAGAGACAAAAGCTCAATGTTCTTTACACATTATGGCAGCCGATCACCGACAATGATACGGGAACTCACTCTGATAGGCTATTGCTTGGCCACTGACTGTCCACAATACAAGTATCGAGTAAAAAACTGACCAAACCATCATGAGCAATAGTTAGCCTTGACTGTTGGGTAGGCCTTTCTTGTTTCACGTTTTTTTGTCTGTCCAGGAAATATTTTTCAAATAAAGTGAATATATGAATTTACAGCAACAACAACAACAACAACAACAACAACAACAACAACAACAACAACAACAACAACAACAAAATATGCACACAAAAGTATGCTTTTGAAAGAGTCAAATTAAATACGTATGACACATTTCTTGTGCATGTGAGAGAGTGTATGTGTTAGGTTTCTAGTGTATGTGCTCTGTATGTGTGTGTATATATCTGTACAAGTGAGTGTGTATGGACGGGGGAAAGGTGGGGGGGGGGGGGGGTCAGAGTTGTGTGACAAAGTGGAAATTGTATCAGTGTCAAACCAAATAGCCGTATCTGCATTTTGACTATTGAGTGTCAGTCAGATCCCTTTGTCACATCTGGCAGCACTATTCTCATCAGACAGTGATGATCTATGTGTGGCCTGCACTGTTTACTCGCTCCCATACGAACCTCAACAGCAACTGGCTTGTCATGTATTCAGTTACCATCAAATCGGGCATAACCAGCAGGTATATTTGGCTTTACGTTTTCCAACACAACGCCATAATCCATTTTCAAACTAGACTGTGTCGTATCATAAGCCACGCTTCGCGGCATTAAGCGACGTCCGTTGGCTTTGGTATTAGCCGCAGTGCATTTCTTTTGCCTCTTTCACAGTACAGAAATTAAAGAAGAGATCCCTACACACGTCAGTGGCGCATCGGGCACATGAGTTTAGACTCATCTTTTGATAGACTCTGCTCCATGAGAGATGTGGTCAACAGCTCGCCAACCGCCTTTACTTCCCATGAATTTACCTTGTACTCATTTAAGGCTGGGTCGACCTGTGAATCTCACCATAAAGCCATGTAGTATATCTCCAATCCCTGCATGTAAGTAAGTTTTGCTCTCTTTTCATCTCATTGAGGTCTATTAAATACATTGTGCTAAGTTGTTATGCCTATTAGCGAACCAATAATTTATCAGTAAAGTTGCTAAAAGGATCCCTTTAACATTTGCTAAAGTCAAAGTCATTATCTCGCAACAAGAAAAAAAAAATTAAAGTCGTTTTAAATGGCTCTGAAACTGGGAGCACAACTACGGAGTATAGAATCTTTGGACCGATCAAAGGGAAACGTAGAAGACAGGAGTGTAAACGGTAGAATATTATTTTTTTCAATCCCCACCTTTTCAGAACATCTATAAAATAGATAATTTTGTTGCAGACTAAGGAAAGCAATTAGGGACAATTTTTCAACTGGAAATTGTAGCTACAAATGGCTCAACCAGCAGCAAATACGGATTCGAAATATATTGTTTTCATAAAGCAAAGTCGCGAAAGTGTTCGTCCACGAATTGATTCGACCAAATGATGAGAGAAATAATGCATCAATATACAAGTAATAGGAATTGTTTTCTGTTGTCTTCATTTATGTTTATTTTTTTCTTATTTTAAAGGATGTTAGTAAGTTTACTTACGACTATTATGTAATCCGGTGTCCTGTTACATGAAGCCTTTTTTAGAATGTGCCCGCAGATTAGAGACGTTTAATATGTAATCTAATGGGGCATTGATCGCCTCAGCTTTAATTAGGGATACATTCACGCTGTGGTGTTAAATGGGTATAGAAGATAATGATTTAAACAGAACTTAGACAATTAGCAACATATCGACAAGATGTTTCGCTAACATAGAGTATTACATTAGTACAATTTCAGCAAAATGTGTAATGTTGTATTAGGAATGGGCACTACAGCACTCAGGACATTCCCATAGACGCTCTGTCACCATCTTCAGCAACAAGCGAAGAGTATCAAGTCCTGTTGTACCAATAACAATTTGATTGTATATCCGTGTCATCTTTCCCTTGAGTGCTGACGGTCGACCAGATTCCCTGGACAGACCTTGCAGTACCATTCTCTTCAAGCGATGATAATCTACATGTGCTTCTGCACTGTTTACTCGCCCCCCCCCCCCCTTTTCCAACTCGCCCTTACACCATCTAGCTTGTCATCCATTATTTCAACACCATTTTATGCAGAATCAGTCAGTCTATCTGCTTGCCCATTTCCTAATGCACCGGCATTCCCTGGGTGTAATATCTAAAGAACGCTAACTCCCGGGGATTTATGAAGCGATGTTTGCCACCCTCCACGGAACATACTGGTGTCCAACTTTCTCAACTTGCTCTGTGAGTCGGTTACAATTACGACATGTGTGCACAGCTGACTCCCAAGCCAGGGAACAACTGTAATGACTGCCCCTATCTCCATTCTCAAACTAGATCTTGTGCTTTCATATGCAGGGTTTTAATGCACTAAGCGACATTCGTTCACTGTTGCTAAAAATACCCATGTGCTTCGTCTGCCTCTCATCACTGGCCGCTGGCCAGTCTCTGTGTGATCCGAAACTTTTACAAGTCTGACCTTTGGTGGGACATTTTGACCCACCACTCTCCTCGTCCAATGTTATTAAGCCTACGCACATCTCTAATTGTGTTTTCAGCATTCGCCATTGAAGACATTCCTCTTTTCAGTCTTTGATCTTTAGCACTGTCTTTGGCTTCAAACAGGTCGTGTTTCTTATCTGTGGCTACTCCGAGATACGAGTTAGTTTGCTGCATTTTGAGCTTATCAGTACCAGTCGGCAGGGCTAGAATATATCGCATACATACTACAGGGGTATCTCTTGTACATCCCAGAATTACCCTCATTGCTACATCCTGTGTGTGTTCAAGTGTCATCAGTTGCCATTTTGATATGGCAAGCATTCTACATGCAAGAACATCTTCTACAAATTTCAATATTCCTGCAGCCTCTGGTGCTTCAACTTAGGTAAGTAATTTTGCTTGTGTGCACATTAAATATCACTGGTAAAACTGCACAACGCTGGTATAACCAAGGGGCAATATTACATGCTTCTGTGGCCGGTTTACTTAGGCGGAATGCGACAAGTGCTGTTCAATTTATTAGCCAGGGACACCCACCCTTCTGCATGAGCGCAAATATCAAAAGATCATATCTGACTCTAGTGTAGGCATCCTCAAGAAAAAGAGTCGTCACTACACAGATAGATTTTGAAACAATCTGAGTCGCCTCCACCGTGAAAGATTTAGACATAAATATATCAGCAAAATGTTTCTTTAAACAGACTATGCCAAAATAATTCTTCTGGAGATGTCTGAGAACGTATGTACATGTCCGGAGTGCACGGAGATAGTGTAAGTAGCAGCAGCAGTAGTTGCAGTAAGTTTAGTAGTAATAAGAGTGCTAGGGGAACATCAAACATGTAACTTATTTTTGTACAGTATGTCCCAATGTCTGTCTGTCTCTCTGTCTGCACGTGTGTCAAGCTACAGAAAGTGTCTGTATTATGTTATAACCAAAACCACAAAACTCGCATCTTTTACCCGTTAATAATTGCTACCATAAATATCTGCACCAAGTAAAACCCGACTGAGAAGCAGTCATTGCATTGGGTCTTGTGTATGCGCACCCTCTGAATCAGTCAATACGGTTGGTAATTGCTTTATGCTGATAGTTTTTCTTTTTTTATTTATTGTATATAATTAGTAGACTGACGTTACTGATCACGAAGAAGCAGCTTTCCCTACCGAAGAACTAGAGATCAGACCAACATCTTCTCATTCAGCGTAAGTAATTGAAACATTTACAATGTGTATGCTTTATACAGAGCACAGCGAGAGTGTTTACAAGACATTAAAATGCTTTGGATATGAAAGCACATAGGGCTGGAGACTTTGCTAGAGGAAGAAATACTTTCAGGTGTGCCGGAAAGAGAGCAACGCTTTGTAAAGGTTTGCTTAAATATTATGTGCTGGGTGTAAGTGAGCAGCTATCGCAGCCAAGCTGTAAAACAACAGCACAATATGTCAGCCATCTTTATGAAGTGCCCACGCAGGTAGGCATGTAGAGGAAGAGTTAAGTTACTAATTTTCATGTTTTATTATGTCTGGCTCAAATATTTTAACGCCCGGCTCTCTAGCGAAGTTGGTTAAACCGGATTGCGCGGTGAGTGGGTGACGAATTCCTTGTGGTCCGGGTTCACTCCCGGGGGTAGGCAGAAAAGCCACATTTATCCCAGATTTACAGTATTTACAATGGAATCAAGGCCGAGAGGTTGCGATATCCATAATACCGAGCCTCAGGGTTAACAACTCATGGCGTCTGGTTACTAAAACAAACAAACAACAAACAAATATTTTAACCTATTGATTCGTTAAACATTTAGCCTTTCTACAGAATTAACATATTTGAGTTGTAACGTGTTCCTTGATATAACTGTTGTTCCCGTTTTCTTGTTATTCAAATCACCCCTTGTGTGACGACCTGGTTTTGAGTTGTACCTCTGCGTCGCTACAAGCAAGTGAATTGTAGTAAAACGTTGGAAGTTAATAAGTGAATTAAAATCGACATCCCAGCACTCTGAACATTCCCATAAGCGCTCTGTCCTATCTTTAGCAGCAAGCTCTAATCCCAACAGTGCCACAAGTTGTTTGAGAGTATGTTCGCCTCATCTTTCTCTTGGGTGTTGAGCGTCGTCTAAATCCCCTGTTCACGCCTCGTAGGATCACTATCATCAAACCATAATGATCTGTGTGTGCATTCCAACTGCTCACTTGCTCCAAAAAATACCCTTATAATATCTAGCTTACAAGCATCAATTTACCCACAAGAAGCAAAGAACCAGCCATCCTATATGGCTGGTCGTTTACCAACACACTGGTATAGTCTAGATAAGATATCCAACGACGCTAACAAAGACCTCAAAGGTGATGTTCGCCACTTTGCTCGAAGCATACCTGTCGTTATCTTTCTCATCGTACTCTTCAGTCCGTTTCATGTAGAACTTGTGTTTACAGCTTGTTCTCAAGCTAGCTAGCTGCTGCAGCAGGTGATCATACTTCTGTACGTGATACCATCGGTAACAGTATATACC